AGAAGATAGTCGTCTAGGTGGCCGGTGAGGACTCGTTCGTCGCAGGTCAGATAACGGGGACCGTCTACTGCAACTATGCACAGACCACAACCTGTTTCTGGCTAGCACTAACTTCCGGCACAGTCATCGCTAATGTGCCACCTGGCGTCCTCCCTCTGCATCCCAAGCCTGAACTCAGATTGATCACATCGCGGTCAGCTACCGCTGGCGTGGTTGTGTACAAGACTGCCGCTCCTTTTGGAGTACCTATCTGGACTCTGACCATGCCTTGGCCTGTGCCAATCTTACCTTACTTTTCAGTGGCAAACGAAGTGACCGCCATCAACGGATTGATATTAGCAAGCTGGTTGCAACTTCTGTTGCTAGTAAGTATCGAACCCAGCTAGCTTCTAGGCTAGCTAGCTACCATTCGACCAAAAGGTATAGATGACCATTGGTTGCGATTGCATGACGCCATGAAAATGGCGAGTAAAGCCGCCTGCGGCTTCGCGAAACGTCCCGCTTATAAACACCGAGTTTCTTCAAGCTCCTTACAACTCATCAAAGCCCGTCGGTCTACTATGGGTGACCGTGAGATTGACCACAAGCTATGACTGTTACGTAAGGAAATGGGGCAAAGCTTGCTTAAGGACTGAGAAGCCTAGTGGTCGAAGCGTGCTAATGAGCTGGAAGCGGCAGCTGAATCTGGTAATTACCAGAAGCTCTTCCAACTCATCCGAGCCAGTGGCAGCGAGAAGTCTGGTGTGAGCGAAACAATCTGCGAGGATGACGGAATGTCAATCACTAACATCCGTTGACGTCTTGGACGATGGGCAGAATTTTTCGAAGGGCAGTTCAACTGGCCTGCTGCTCCGGCAACATCGGTCAGACTGTCCTGTCCTCCATGGCCGATAATGACTGATCCACCAAATGAGGCGGAAGTCCGCAAGGAACTCCAACTCTTGAAGCATTACAAATCAACTGGCCCAGATGACTTACCTCCGGCTCTTTTTACATATGGTGGTGACTTTCTGGCTAAGGAACTGACAAGGTTGTTTACAAAGTTCTGGGAGCTCGAGAGTGTACCAACGTCATGGAATGAGTAGATAGTTGTTCCTATCTTTAAAAAGGGTTCACGTCGTTCCTGTAACAAATATCGGGGGATAAGTCTACTTCCGATTGCTTCCAAGCTATTGGCTTCCGTCATACTTCGTAGGTTGTTCAAAACCCGAGAAAGATTGACTCGCGAGGAGCAGGCTGGGTTTCGTTCTGGTAGAGGATGTATTGACCATATCTTCACCCTCTGTCAAATGTTAGAACACCGCCATACTTATCAAAGGCCAACAGTCGTAGTATTTCTTGATATCAGGGCTGCCTTCGATTCGTTGGATAGGACTGTTCTCTGGGATTGTCTATTGAAGAAGGGTGTGCCTGAGAAGTTTATATACAAACACCTTAGGCAGAGTGAGGGCATACAACCACCTTTCTCCACTGTTCTATTCGAGCAGTGGGGTTAGGCAGGGTTGCTCAATCTCACCATTCCTCTTCAACTTTGCCATCGATGACATTCCGGAAATAGCCCTGATGAATGTAAGTAACGGCGGTGTGGATTTATTGCCTGGAGCAATACTTCTCGACCTTGAGTATGCAGATGATATTGTCTTACTGTGCGATAATGTCCAAGCCATGCAATCCGCACTTAATCAGTTGACAACCAGTGTCCGTAGGTATGGTATGTGCTTTGTACCTTCGAAGTGTAAAGTACTTCTACAAGACTGGCAGGATTCTAATCCTGTACTCACTCTGGATTGTGAGCAAATAGAAGTAGTCGAGAAGTTCATGTATCTAGGTAGTTGCATAAATGCTGGTGGTGGCGTGAGTGATGAGATCAACGCACGTATAGTGAAAGACAGAGCGGCTTATGCCAATCTGGGCCATCTTTGGCGCCTTCTTGATGTCAGTCTGGCTGTAAAAGGTCGGATTTACAACGCGTCGCTGACAGCAGTTCTGCTCTATGCTTGTGAAACCTGGCCTCTCCAAATTGAGGACGTTAGACGACTCTCTGTGTTCGATCATCGTTGTCTCCGAAGGATTGCTGACATCTAGTGGTAACACCATGTTGGTAATGCAGAGGTTCGGCATTGTGTGTTCGGGCACAGAGACGATAATGCAATTGGTGTCACCATCTTGAAACACCGACGTCGGTGGCTTGGACATGTTCTACGAATGTCGTCCCAGAGAATTCCACGTCGTGCATTATTTGCCAACTCTGGGACTGGTTGGGGAAAGCGGAGAGGTGGTCAGTATATGACATGGTGTCGTGGTATGAAAGAAAGCTGCAAAGGACTGGCTTGTGTCGGTCCTTCCCGACTCCCTTGCTGGAGTCCGAGAGATGGTGCAACACAGTGGCTAGAGACGTTATCAGATATGGCTCAGAACAGAAGCGAGTGGCGATCCTGCTGTAACCTTTTACTTTATTCGTAAAAGGCGGTTGTATCTTCCTTAACTGAAAGATTTCTTCTGATTGTACCTTTCCGTTCCCCCATTATTACTATTATTATTATTACACTACCTTACACCAATCTCTTCGTTATTGTTCTCTTTTTTTACCCTCCTTAATTTTTTTCATTTTTCTTCTCTTTAAGTTCTCATTGTTTTCTGTGGCGCATATATATTGGCGCTCTCTTGTACCAATATTTATGTGTTGAAATATATAAATAAATAACGTAGGATCTAAAGTACTAGCCTCAATAATTATCGAGTGCCCAACAAAGACTTGTGAACTACAAACACGGGAAAATCAGTCTGACTTCAGGCCTGGTCGTGGTTACATTGACCAAATATTTACCATTCGTCTGATTTCAGAACACAGGGCGTGCTTTTATGTACCTGTTCCTACGTTGTATACGACTGATGATCATATTCAGTTTTATTCACTCATTAATTGAGTATATTACTCGTTCGTTAAAATTGAATAGTTCACTGTTCTTTTTTCAACACTTTTCAAATGTAGTTTACAATATTTTCTGTATAAATCTACTCTCCCATTTTTAGTTATGACTTTCACTTAAGCTGTCCTACTTATTGCTTTGCTGTTTTTCCCGTGTAACGATGATCATGGTGTTATGACGGGGAACATTGAATGACCACTTTTATTTTAATAATTAGGTTGTTGACTGACAACTAACTCAGTTCTACTACTTTATTTAGATGTTTAGTGTATAAATAAAAACTCTCATTTCCTATTGTAAATGTTTGCACTCACCCGGTTAAGTCATATACACGGATTATCAGTTTGAAAATTCATTTTATGTAATTCTATTATTATCAGAAGTGTCTTATGTGAAGAGTTTAGTAATTTAATAGTTGAATTCATGATTTAATTAATGCTAGACCACCATGGAAAACCTGGAAGCACTGGAAGACCGTTTCATCCTAGTAAGGGACTCCTCAGCAGTGCGCATCCACGATCTCGCCCGCGCGATTCCAACCCAGGAACTATCGGTATCACACTCAGTTAAAAACCTTTCCTGGTACTGACAGTAGTGTGATGCCTCTGTAGTTCTCACCGTTGCACCGATTCATGCATTGCGAGTAATCTTTCGCAGTAGATGCATATAAGATTTCGTGTATGAAGGCGACTATACTGATGACAATTTATTTCGTTAATGCAGATAAGTTGACTACAAGATTATTGGGTGCGATATTTTTGATTCATATCTGGGTTTATGATACTTTCAATTTGTGCACTGCTATTCTCACACATTCCAATAACCTAGTTATTAACTTGCGTTTATTATATGTTAATATACCTCAAAGTCTCATACTAGGATGAAGCGGTCGTCCAGTGCTTCCAGATTTTCCATGGTGGTCTAGCTTTAGTTGATTCATGAATTCAACTATTAAATAATTCTATTAGTTCACTAGGCCACCATAACTTATGTACCAACGTTATTTTAAGTGATACTGAATAGCACCGACTACTGGGGACTATTTCATCACATTTCTTGACATTGAAACATTTTTACTTATAAATATTTATATGATTTCTTATTTTGGAGTCGTCGAGCGGAAACTTCTGAGTCAACTTTCTAAATTAGTTTATTACCATCATATCTGAATCATCATCTAGTGTTATCTTGAAGCTTTCATTAATGTCTGTAGGGAAAACCAACATAAAACTGGAACGAAGCCGATTCTCAATCCTAATCAACTTTCGACAACTTCTTTACCTAATGTAAATAGTGTATCCAGGATAATTTCATTTTCAAATTTATTCGTTGGATTGATGTTTTTGTAATCCATCATTTCTTAATTGCACTAGATTAATTTAACGTAACAGAAGACTATAAGAGCGGTATGGCAACCTGGACCGATGCATATATGTGCCTGGTCCTACGTTGTATTTGACTGACTGACTGAAGACTATAAGAACTATCGTCTAAATTTGATCGAATTGTTTCACAGTATTTGGGTGCCGAGTTGATGTGAGACAGTAAAAAACACTATTGCTTCGTAAAATGGTCATATTTTAGTTTGTTATTGATCACTAGTCATATATTTCCGAATTAGATGGTGACAAAGCAATTCCTCAACTCATAACCGAGTGAACATTGAAAAGACCTATTCCTTGACCGAATAAAGCAAAACACTGATATTTCTTTACAAAAAAAGTAAACTACTAACATGATTGTGAGTAATTCAATGAGTAATGATTAAATAGTTAAGTATAAAGGCAAAGACTAATAATAGTAAATCTAGATCACTGATTATCGCCCTGCAACTTTCAGTCTATGGAAATAATTATCGGTCCAGACTTTAAACCTGTTTGCTATACTGCTTAATTTCTTCTCATTCTACGATAAGGGTTCACATTGATTTTTTGGATAGGTGTATGGTAGCTAAAAGTTTGTTGTTCAAAATGACGAATTAATATCGGTAAACACAAAAGTAAATCAGTGCATCAGGGTGACTAAACGCCAGTTTTTGTAAAAAAAATTCTTTTGTTTATATATCTGAAGATTTTCTAGAACCATTACCTCTCATTCCTGCAACAATATGGACTCGTAAAGATATTGCAGAGTTCAAACGAGAAATTCTCGATGTACAGAAGGAATGTTGTATAAAGATAAATTCTTTAGCAACTGCAACAGTAAGTCTCACAGTGTATTTTCTTACTGATTTCATTACTTAGCTGGTCATTCTATGATGATTTGAGCTCGATACTTTGTGATACGTAAATGTTATACTTAATAATTTGTTAGAGAAATAAACTTGATTGTTTAATATATAAATTCTATGAATAAACTAGGCGCTAATCTAGTCGAATTTTTCGTATAGCTATTACGGATTTCACTCGATTTTTAAAACTGAACCACTTCACTTTATGACCCGAATGAATATTTTAAAACATCAAGGCATCTATCCACCCTTTATACCAACAGTTATCGTTGGGTAAATTGAAAAAAAGGAGACTTTAACTTGGACTTTTAAACTCAGAAATGAAGAAAAAAGATTATCTTAGTTTAAGCTCTATATGTTTACCATACCGGACATCCATATGTTTGTATGTGTTGTCATCAGTGACTTGAGGCTTCTGAAATTATGAAAAAGTAACTATATTAACAGTGATATGAATAATGTATATTGACAACGCCGAATTCTAGGATCTCATATAAATATGGAGAATAGTCTTAGGTATTCCATTAGCGGTTTTAGGACATGCTGTTAAAATGGAATTAACGAATATAGAATATATCTTGGTTGATTTTTTCACTATTGATTTTTGGTACACCGGTTTTCTTTAATTTATCTCACAATATGAGCCAAAAGTATTCAGCCCGGATACAGATTGATGTTACATGACTATCTTTTCAGAGCGTATTTTCGTTAACGAGATTCTATCATATTACATCACAAGACAACAAATTTATCTTCAACATTGATATTCTACACCTGGAATGTCTTAACTACTAGTATTTATATGGTGGTCCTAATGGTAACAAAATGACATTTATCTTGAGTATAACTCAGTAGTAATTTTATCAAATAATCTATGGCGGTCATGTTCACTTTTGCACAAAGGCACTTGAATGTTGGATCGTTTTCTTAAATTGTTAATAAAGTAGTATAGACGAATTACGTTACGATTAAACCACATTGATCTAAATGTATGCAATACGCATTATATTTCTGAGGTCACCTGTGGTCACATCAATGAATTAATGAACCAATATTTTAGCGGTTTAAGAATCCCAATAGAATATTCAAAAATGAAGAATATTTGAGCGAACAAGTATTTTCAATAACTTCACCATCAGGCTCTACAGTTATAAGTCCACAATTATCGTGATATTTTAGAAACGTCAAAATAAGACATGTATTAATGAATTTGACAATATTATATATTAAAAATAGTGAACGTTTGCATCTGTTACGACATATACACCTCAAAATTGTGTTATTTATAAATTAGAAGGGTCATTTAATAAAAGGCAAATGATTCATAATAGTGTCAAGTCCCAATCAGTATAACAGTAATATAGCAAAAATGGAACGAAAATCGTGTAAATAAAATGCCTAGTAAGAGAATTTCATCTTGTTAATTGAGGTAATGATAAGAATATCAATCGTAGTGATAATAATATCGTAAACATGTACCAGCATGATTACTTACTTAATTACGCCTGTTACTCCTCGTGAAGGAGAATAGGCCGCTCACCAACACTCTCCATCCAACCCTGTCCTGGGCAATCCTTTCCAGCTCCTTCCAGTTCCTATTGATCCTTTTCATATCTGCTTCTATTTCTCGACCTAATGTGTTCTTTGGCCTTCCTCTTTTCCGTTTCCCTTCAGGATTCCAAGCTAGGGCTTGCCTCGTGATGCAGTTTGACGATTTGCGTAATGTATATCCTATCCATTTCCATCTTTTTTTCCTAATTTGCTCTTCAGCTGGAAGCTGGTTTGTTCTCTCCCACAAAAGGCTGTTACTGGTATCCGGCCAATGGATATTGAGTATCGTGCGTAGACAGCTAGTTATAAATACCTGAACCTTCTTGGTAACAATTGTGGTAGTTCTCGAAGTTTCAGATCCGTACATTAGAACTTTCTTGATGTTCGTATTGAAGATTTTGATATTGGTTGACAGTTGTTTTGGGTTCCATATGTTCTTCAATTGTAGGAATGCGGCCCTTGCTTTGCCAATCCTTGCCTTTAAGTCTGCATCTGAACCTCCTTGTTCATCGATGATGCTTCCCAGTTATGTGAAGGATTCTACATCTTCCAGAGTTTCGCCATCAAGAGTGATTGGATTGCTGTTCTTTGTTTTGAATTTGAAGACCTTGGTTTTCCTCTTGTGTATATTGAATCCTACTGATGCAGAGACTGCTGCTTCACTACTTGTCTTCATCTGCGTTTGTTATTGTGTATGGGATAAAAAAGCCAGATCATCTGCGAAGTAAACATTTTCTCATTGATTCCAATCTGTCCATTGTATCCCATGTTCCCTCTCAGGTGTCGTGGTTTTCATAATCCAGTCGACCATCAGAAGAAAGAGAAAGGGAGAGAGTAGACAGTCTTATCTGACTCCGGTCCTTACTTGGAATACATCTGTCAGCTGTCTTCCATGCACGACCTTGCACTGTAGTCCGTCGTATGAGTTCCGGATCATGCTGACAATCTCATAAACTCCGTAGTGTCGAAGAAGTTTCCATAACGTCCTATCTACACTGTCAAATGTCTTTTTATAATCAATGAAGTTGATGTACAGTGACGAGTTCCACTCAACTGATTGCTCGACGATGATCGGTAGTGTCGTGATTTGGCCTGTGCACGATCGGTCCTTAAGGAATCCAGCTTGTTGATCTCGAAGTTGGGTGTCTACTGAGTCTTTCATTTGGTTCAGCAACACCCTGTTAGAAACCTTTCTTGGTACTGACAGTAGTGTGATGCCTCTGTAGTTTTCACATTTGCTTAGATCTCTTTTCTTTTCAATCTTGATGAGGTATCCTTCTTTCCAGTCCGTCGGCCTTTGTTCTTCCTCCCAAATCTTTTTGAATAGAATGTGAAGCATGATTGTAGTTACTTCAATGTCTGACTTCAGTGCTCCAGCTGGTATATTGTCTGGTCCTGTTGCTTTCCCTCTCTTGATTTGTCTGATGGCCATTCTGATTTTCCCCGTCATTGGTGGAGAGAAATCTATAGGAAGATCTGATTGTGCTGCTTCAATGTCCAGTGGATTCAATGGAGAAGGTTTATTCAAGAGTTCCTCGATGTATTCTACCCGTCTGTTCCATTGTTTTTAAGTCTCGGTGAATGTCTTGCCTTCTTTGTCCTTGACTGGTCCCTCTGGTTTACAATATTTCCCTGCTGGTTTCTTCGGTGTATCACACAACTTTCTCATATTTCCTTCTCTTGAAGCTTTTTCCACCGTCGTTGCTAGTTCTTCCACGTATTTCTGCTTGTCGGCTCTAACACTCCTCTTCACTCGCTTGATTGCTTCAGTGTATTCAACTCGTGCTTTGAATTTCTGTGCTCTTGTTCGACTGTTGTTGATTGATGTCTTCTTGTTCTACCTGTCTTGAATCCTGTCCAGTGTTCCTATAGAGGTCCATTCCTTATAATGATGCTTCTTGAGGCTAAGAACCTCTTGACACGTTGACGTTAGTGCTTCTTTGATACCTTTCCAGTTGTCCTCCATAGTAGTTTCTTCTTCCTTCAGTAGATCCTGTAAGGCTTGGAACCTGTTGTTGAGAGCTATCTTGAATTCATTGAGTTTGTCAGTATCTCGAAGGAAGGCCGTATTGAACCTTTGTAGTGCTGTTTGTCCAGTTTTTCTTTAGCTTCAGTTTTAAATTAGCCACATCTAGGTGGTGATTTGAAGCTATGTCAGCTCCTCTACTGCTTCTCACATCTTCCATTGTCCTTCGGAACTTTTTATTGATGCAAATATGATCTTTCTGGTTCTCTGTGGTGTGGTCTGGTGAGATCCATGTAGCTTTGTGTATACGTTTGTGTGGAAATATTGTGCCTCCTATGACCAATTTGTTGAATGCACACAGATTTGCAAATCTTTTCCCATTTTCGTTTCTCTCTCACAGTCAATCCATGTCGTCCCATGATATCTTCATATCCGGTGTTGTCTACTCCGACTTTGGCATTTAGATCTCCCATCAGAATGGTGAGATCCTTTCTTCGGCACTTCTCTATGGTTGACTGCAGCCGCTCGTAGAATTGATCTTTAATGTCGTCGTTGCTATCATTGGTGGGTGCATAACATTGGATAATATTCATTGTGATCCCCTCCTTCTTTGTTTTGAATGATGCTTTGATGATTCTGTATCCGTGAGATTCCCATCCTACAAGTGAATTTCTTGCTACTTTGGACAGCATTAGAGCAACTCCCTGAGTGTGTGGAGGATATACCTCTTCGTGGCAGGAGTATAACAGCATCTCTCCCATATTTAGCCTTTGTTTTTCAGCTTGGGTCCAATGGGTTTCGCTGATTCCCAGTACTGCCAAGTTGTATCTCCTCATTTCAGTTGCAATCTGACTGGTCTTCCCGATCTTCCACATTGTTCGGACGTTCCATGTACCTATAAAAATTGTTGCTCTGGTTGTTAGAAGGGGCATCGGCCTCGTGGCTTCCGAAGGAACTCGCTTTCACCATGAGGCGTCATAGTTCTTCTAAATGAAGACTTAACTCCCAGAGCAGAGTTGAAATGGTTTGGATTATTTTTTCTGGTTAGCGTTTTTTTAGCGAGTTAGTTTTCTACGGATGGGTTCGCTAACCCTATGCCCAACCCTCCTCCTTTACCCGTGCTTGGGACCGGCAGTAACTCTAGAAGAGCTACAGGCGGAGTCACCAGTATGATTGGAGTTACTAAATCGATCAACATTTAACATCTTATTGTCACTATATGGATAATACTTTCATAGTATAGAAAAAAGAGCATGAAAAGGAGAATTTATTTAATATATTTAATAACATTCATTCATCAATTAATTTTACACTGGAGAAAGAAAAGAACAATAGCATGTCGTTTCTAGATTTCCAACTAACTCGACAAACAGATGGAACATTAAGAAGAGGGTTACACAGAAAGTCTACAACTGGACAATACACACATTTCTATAGTGCAGTACCAATCTAATACAAAAAAATTGATAAAGTTCCTGACTCATCGTGCTAGAATGATTTGCTCGGATGACATTCTTGTAGATGAATTGGTTCATATTCGTAACTTGCTTAGTAGGAATTGGTACCCAACGAAATTTATCGACAAACACATGAAGGAGATGAAAAGAAGGACAAGGGTACCTACCGTTTCGAAGAAAGTATTGTTCTTAAAATTACAATTCTCAAATGATACTACTGAAGAAATCGTGACTCATAGGTTACGAAATGCAGTACAAAAAAATTTAATGCAGCCAGACTGAGCGTCATCTTCTACAACCTTTATTAAATGACCTTTTTAATTTATAAATAACACAATTTTGAGGTGTATATGTCGTAACAGATGCAAACGTTCACTATTTTTAATATATAATATTGTCAAATTCATTAATACATGTCTTATTTTGACGTTTCTAAAATATCACGATAATTGTGGACTTATAACTGTAGAGCCTGATGATGAAGTTATTGAAAATACTTGTTCGCTCAAATATTCTTCATTTTTGAACTAATATTTCTTCTGTATTACGAATCCTTACTAACTGTAACTATCCAAGTTTTTGTATATGTTATAGTTCACATTGATAGCGGTTCGATAATGTTGTATTATAATTATTTATATTCTCGTTTCTAGGTACGTGTTCCAACTCATCCAAATGGGAAAGCAATATGTTGGGAATTTGCTACAGACAATTATGACTTAGGTTTTGGATTGTATTTTGAATGGGATTTGGAACCACCTGAAAATATTTCTGTTAATATTTCGGAGTCAAGTGATGAAGAAGGCGGTGAAGATGAGGATGAAGAAGGACCTAGTAATGGGAATTCTATGGAACAAACGTCGCCTGAAAACGAAAATAAGGGTAGGAAATTAGCTTTGATTGTGAGAATACCAGTGTCCATATTTAGATTATGTTTCTATGCATAACGTTGAATTCCGTAATTGGATTATCATACATGTTTATATTGATTTTTTCAGTGTATAAGTAATCGGTATTCATTAAGCGAATAAGTCGTTTTGTTAATTTTTCTTCAGGTAACGGCCCATATTTATTGTCATGTAGCAAATGTAATATCGTTTGATTGTGCAAATAATAAACAGCACGGGGTTGTTAAAAGATATGTTGTGTACTTACTGTAACTTATGAACCGTTTCATTTGCTTCTTATCAACTATGATTCATCATATACTAATAAAATGTAAGCTGCTTTACAAATACAATCCATTTGTAATTAAAATACTATCATTCAAGATGGAATGGACAACACCGGCTACGGAGATATCAATAAAAGCTTCAAGATAACACTAGATGATGATTCAGATATGATGGTAATAAACTAATTTAGAAAGTTGACTCAGAAGTTTCCGCTCGACGACTCCAAAATAAGAAATCATATAAATATTTATAAGTAAAAATGTTTCAATGTCAAGAAATGTGATGAAATAGTCCCCAGTAGTCGGTGCTATTCAGTATCACTTAAAATAACGTTGGTACATAAGTTATGGTGGCCTAGTGAACTAATAGAATTATTTAATAGTTGAATTCATGAATCAACTAAAGCTAGACCACCATGGAAAATCTGGAAGCACTGGACGACCGCTTCATCCTAGTATGAGACTTTGAGGTATATTAACATATAATAAACGCAAGTTAATAACTAGGTTATTGGAATGTGTGAGAATAGCAGTGCACAAATTGAAAGTATCATAAACCCAGATATGAATCAAAAATATCGCACCCAATAATCTTGTAGTCAACTTATCTGCATTAACGAAATAAATTGTCATCAGTATAGTCGCCTTCATACACGAAATCTTATATGCATCTACTGCGAAAGATTACTCGCAATGCATGAATCGGTGCAACGGTGAGAACTACAGAGGCATCATACTACTGTCAGTACCAGGAAAGGTTTCTAACAGGGTGTTGCTGAACCAAATGAAAGACTCAGTAGACACCCAACTTCGAGATCGACAGGCTGGATTCCGTACGGATCAGTCGTGCAGAAACCGAATCGCAACACTATTGATCATCGTTGAACAATCAATCGAATGGAATCCGTCACTTTACGTCAACTTCATTGATTATAAGAAGGCGTTTGACAGGGTGGACAGGAGAACATAATGGAAACGTTTTCGACACTATGGAGTTCATGAGAAGATTGTCAACATGATCCGGAATTCATACGACGGACTATAGTGCAAATTAGTCCATGGAAGACAGCTGACAGATACATTCCAAGTGAAGACCAGGGTCAGACAAGACTGCTTACTCCCTCCCTTTCTGTTTCTTCTGGTGGTTGACTGGATTATAAAGACCTTGTCGTCTGAGAGGGAACACGGAATACAATGGACAGATCGGAATCAATTAGAAGATTTGGATTTCGCAGATAATCTGGCCCTTCCATTCCATACACAATAACAAACGCAGATGAAGACAAGTAGTGTGGCAGCAGTTTTTGCATCAATGTACACAAAGGAAAAAGCAAGATTCTCAAATACAGCACAGAGAACACCAACCCAATCACACTTGATTGGAAGATGTGGCATCTTTCACGTACACCGGAAGCGCCATCGATAAACGTGGAGTATCTGATGCAGATGTAAAGGCAAGGATTGGCAAAGTAAGGACAGTATTCCTGCAGTGGAAGAACATATGGAACCCAAAACAACTGTCAACCAATATCAAAATCTTCAATACGAACATCAAGAAAGTTCTAATGTACAGAGCTGAAACTTCGAGAACTACCACAATTGTTACCAAGAAGGTGTAAGTGTTTACAAACAGTTGTCTACGCAAGAGACTCAATATCCGTTGGCCGGATACCATCAGCAGCAGCCTACTGTGGGAGAGGACAAACCAAGTTCCAGATGAAGAGGAAGTCAGTAGAAGTTTTAAGTAGATAGGACATACATTACGCAAATCGTCAAACTGCATTACGAGGCAAGCCCTAACTCGGAATACTGGAGGGAAACGGAAAAGAGGAAGACCAAAGAACACTCTAATTCCGGAATTGTAGACAGACATCGAAAAGATGAATAGCAACTGATAATGTTTGCTCAGGATGGAGTTAAATAGAGAATGCTTGTGGGTGGCCTATGCTCCTCCACGAGGTGTGACAGCCGCGAGTAATTCGACGCTGTTCCTCTTCTGTATCTAAAAATCATTGGTACTACATGCCATGTCACTAATATTTCAGTAGTAATATGTGAATTATAACAAGTGCGTGAACATACTTTTTTCGGATGCATATCTCGTTCGTCGTTTTTGAGCGACCAGTAATCAGACGCAGCCACTATTTTAAAGCGTAGTTTTGACCACTTAGAATATGAAGTGATAGCTGAACAAAAAATTCGATAGTTTTTTTGATAGGTTTTTGAAATAGTTAGATTTAATACTGCAGAGCTTCCATGTAAGTTACTAATCATTTCACTAATAACCTCTACTAATATTATAGGTATCCATACAAAGGTTTGACTTGTTCATTTCAAATAAATCGAGGATTGGATAGGAGGTTAATCATAATGATATATTTGTGACGTAGAAATTTGAATTTCTGACCTTTCGTGAATTAATGTAGGCCACTTCTTCAGAGTACGTAGATGAATAATCGATTTAACATAAGTGTATATATTATAAAGGAACAAGGCACAGTATTTAGTCTAATCAAAATCAGATTAGGTTTGATTATTTCAGTGTCATCTGAACTTTCTGGGCAATGGGATTCTATATGAGACATCATTGTGTGTTTCATGATGGGTATGAGAAACGTATGATTTGTTGTATGAAGAAGCGTAGTTAGAATTTGAGCGTATGTATGAGGAACGAACAGAGGTAAATGTGGTTGTTTGGATAAACAGTCCAAGTTGGATATATAGTTCGGCTTTTTTTAGCTTTACATGAAACGCTTTAGCTAATCGCTTTTCTTTCTAGCTGGAAAAACCGTTGAATTATTTTGATATTTTTAATACCGACTTGGTTACTGAACATAACATGTGCTACTATTTCCGATTTAATTTGTAAACTTTCCAGCTCTACAGGATTATTAGGTGTTTTTGTGTTCCTTGGTTTGTGTCGAAATTTGACAATGAGACTCTCAAGTACAGAACACATTGGAGGTCAGGTAAAACAGCAGTGCCAATCAAAGTACTCCAATTAAAATTGTTATTCATAGGTGAATAGTTTCGTCTTAGTATTCTCTCCTGAATAGATGCGGAGCCAGAAAATGTTTTGCACTGAATGAATGTGCAGAGTTGAAATCGATGTACTACCACTATTTGTTCGGAAAATATAGTTCGTAGTGTAATTCTTAATTTCTGTAATTAGTGTAGTCTACAAATCTCAGTAAGTCTGATGTATAATCTAAAAGATGATACTACACTGGGACCTGCCTTAAATCGATGAAGTCCAGAATAAGTGTGCAAGGTATGTATTAAACGTAAATGAGAAAAAAACATTCTTACACATTTTTCACTGCCTGTAATAATTTACTTTTTTCTTGTATTCAGAATCTCATGATTTGGAATTAGGCAAAAAGTCATTACAACAGCGTTTACCTACTGACGAACTTATACCAATCTATAGAAGGGATTGTCATACAGAAGTTTATTGTGGTAGCCATCAGTATCCAGGTGTTGGTGTGTATGTATTCAAATTCGACAATTCATTTTCTCTCTGGCGTTCTAAGTGGCTGTATTACCGTATTTTCTATACTCACTGAGTAGCTTCACACAGCCACCGTTCGAAACATTGAAATTATGTTGTTCACATTCTCTACGTTACTTCCGATTCAAATATACTGTGAACCAGTTTGGTTCTCCTTCCCATTGTTTTATTTTGACATGTTGCAAATTGCTTCTGATCTCAGCATATATATATATATATATATATATATATATATATATATAGCATTTATCGCATTTCATATTCATGCATCAAAATCCTGCATAATTGATTCTCTTCTCTTTAAAGTATCCTTCATATTTTGGTTTGTTCTGTTTTCCAACCCTAAAGTATTTTGTGTTGGAATGAATTAATTTGCTTCATTTTTTCAACATTTATTTCAATTATAGTATTTTCTAATAGTGATTTCTTTTCTGCGCAACACTTCATGAAAAGTAAATGTCTGTATTTGAAATATTCTGTTGAGTCCATGATTGACAAAGTCATAAGCAACTGTAGTCAGAGTTTGTTGTAATTTTAAAGTCTGTGTATTGTTTATATATCACTTTTACTTGATAAGTAGCATAGCATTAAAAATTCGGATAATTAAATTAACCGGTACCAGAATTTATGTTAATGCTTTATAACCTCGGTGGAATTCGACTCACCAATCAACGTTTTAATCATATTAGTGATAAACGATCAGATTAAAAGTTCAATTTGTGACCACATAATTTATGTTCTAACCGAATGTCATCATAGATCTACTGATGTAAATAACTTTCTCGTCGACTGAATTTTCGGGTATTGATCTCTATCCAGGAGGTCCACTTATCGACTTAGAATACGCAGATGACATAATCCTGTTTGGTGAAGACGCTGACAAAATGCAGAGTCTTCTGGTAACACTGAGCAACAATGCCTGGATGTTTGATGTGCGTTTCTCCCCTCTAAATGCAAGTTGTTGCTTCAGGACTGGTCTGCGTTAACACCTGAACTAAGGATAGGGAGTGAAGTAGTCGAAAGCGTTGACAACTTCACTTATCTTGGAAGTCTGATTAGCCCTAATGGGTTGGTGTCTGATGAAATCTCAGCACGGATTCGAATAGCTCGTCTAGATTTTGCCAACTTACGTCACCTGTGGCGAAGGCGAGGTATCCGTCTATCAATAAAAGGACGAGTATACTGCGCGGCAGTTCGTTCTGTTTTAATTTACGGCAGCGAAACATGGCCCTTAAGAGTAGAAGACACCCGTAAGCTACTAGTATTTGACCACAGATGCCTTAGAAATATTGCTAGCGTCTGCTGGGATCACCGGGTAAGTAATAGTGAGGTTAGACGCAGGGTATTAGGAAATGGTGGTGAATCAGTGGATGAGGTTATGAATCTTCATCGACTGAGATGGTTGGGCCACGTGGTACGTATGCCTGAATACCGATTACCACGACGTGCAATGCTATCCGGTATTGGAGATGGTTGGAAGAAAGTTAGGGGCGGCCAAACCAAAACGTGGCATCCGTGCTTGAAGTCACTAACTTCTAGTCTGAGTCATGTTGGTAGATGCAGACTACTTGGTTGGTGTCCGCGTGACTATCGTAACGAATGTTTGGAGACTCTGGGTGACATGGCTCAGAATCGATCACAATGGCGTCGGTGTATACACTGTCTTCCCTTAAACTAAGAGATTAAAATCGCTTTATACCTTTCTTTCTACGATCCAATTTTTTCTTGTACTATATCTCTATATGCAATTTTTCTTTTATATATTACCACCTTTGACCTAACCACTGCTATGAATCCGGTGTTCATCTTGTGCGCTGATGCGGTATGGCAACCTGGACCGATGCATATATGTGCCTGGTCCTATGTTGTAGCTGACTGATGTTCTAACCGGTAGTCATATACTTACAAAACAAAAAGCGATAAACGTAAGCATATATGAATAATTAGTTATTTTCTACTGGTACGATTAATGCATCTGGCTAAGAAATAGATACGTATCCATATTACAATCGGGTCACTGATTACGTGTGAGCATTGATAATTACAAATCTTTTGTGCTCGACCGTAGCTGCTACTTTGACGCGGTGGTCGGGCTTACCTATCGTGATGACCCAACCGGGCTATATTGGCCCTTTCAAGAATGGAGCTAACACGTCAAAAACCTTCCACAAAAAGGCCGTGCGCAACCGGCCTCAAGCAGTTGTCCATTGGGCTCTGCGGTCACGCTCCCAGGTCGTTAAGACCAACACTAATCCGACTTCTTTTTCATGTTCCTCAAGAAATACCCTTCCACGATATGGGCAGCCGGGAAGTGATATCAGCCCTCATACCCGTAACAGCGCACGAGACCAAGTTGGTCACATTCAAATCCCACATACACCTCCCAATACCTCTCTTATCTCCATGATTAACCCTCCTCACGTCTCTTTATCACCTCGCACCGCTAGGGTAAACGATTCAAGTACGTGGGACGCTATTCCTGGTCTCCTGATACCACGCTCTAAACTACACGTAGGAGCTTTTAACGTCCGAACACTGTGCCAAATAGGACAGCAGGATTCCTTAGCTAAAACTTTAGAATCTCGTGCCATCGATGTGTGCTGCGTCTCCGAAACGCGCATACAGGATCCAAGTAGCGTCATTCATTTGACCCCACCATGCCAAAATAAAGAACCGACTCCATTCACACTTTGTGTATCTGGAAGCCCTGATTCTGCTTCCCGTGGCCTCGCCGGCGTAGGTATAGCATTGAGTCCTAGGGCAGAACTAGTTCTCTTAGACTGGATCCCAGTGGACAGTCGTTTGTGCGCTATCCGACTGAGCGGAACAGTAAGGATCCGAAAAGATAGGGATACTCGTCGTCGCCTCTTCGTCGTCTCTGCCTATTCTCCCACTGACTGCAGCTCAGATGATGTAAAAGGTGAGTTTTACAGAAAACTTTCCGACCTTCAGGAAAAGCTAGGCGCTCTGATGTAGTAATAGTAGTCGGTGACTTTAATGCTCAAGTAGGCAAACTAAACGAAACGGAAAGACACCGAGGTGGATTTTATGGTGTCGTGGCTCAAAGAACAGATAATGGCGACCGTCTGTTGCAGCTATGCTCAGATAACCGCCTGTTCCTTGCAAATACTGACTTTAAGCATAAGGAAAAACATCTTTTAACATGGAGACCACCTAATTCGTCCCAACGTTGGACCCAAATAAATCACATCGCTATCAGCCACCGATGGAGGGGCTCGATAGAAGACTGTCGCTCATTCTGGAGCACATGCTTAGATTCAGATCATGCTCTAGTACAAGCGCGTATTTGCTTGCGTCTTACTGGACGTAGGAAAGACGCTGCAAGTAAACCTCTTAGGGCCCTACTTAATGATAGTCAAGCTAAGAGTATATTTCAGGAACAACTAGAAAAACAGTTAGGCAGCCATGTATGTGATGCCCACCCCGATGCAGCATGGAATGATATCCGAATAGCTGTGGAAACAGCAGTGATATCTGCTAGTACGGCAACCCGTAAGGTTTGGTAGCAACACTGGATTTCAGCAGCATCTACCGCACTGATAGATGCTCGGAAACTCATTTCACCTGGCTCTGAACACAATGAAGAGCGGAGTCAGCTTAAGCGCAAGCTGACAAGAAGTCTACGCAATGATCGTGAACAGTGGTGGATAGCGAAAGCAAGGAGATGGAAAAGGCAGCGGCAATAGGTAATAGGAGACAATTGTTCAGACTTGTTAAGGAAACCGACTGTTAGCGAAACACTCAGAGAAAGATGGACATATTATACATTCTCAATCCAGGAGATTGGATCGATGGGCAGAACACTTTAGGGATCAGTTCAACTGGCCTCCAGCCACACTTCGGTTTCCAACGATCTCTAGTCAACCTGAATGGCAAGTTAATGTAGGTCCTCCGTCCCTTTACGAAGTTGAAAAAGCCATAGGAAATCTGAAGCGACGGAGAGCAGCAGGCCCTGACAGGTTTACTCCTGAGATTTTTAAGGATGGTGGTCCAGTATTAGCAGTGAGATTAACTGAGGTCTCGGGTAGAATTTGGGAACTGGACGTAATTCCATCTAACTGGTCTCAATCACTGATTATGCCAGTCTATAAGAAAGGACAAAAGTCCTCTTGTGACAATCACAGAGGAATCAGTTTGACTAATATAGTGTCTAAAATATTAGCTACAATAATACTTCGACGCGTAACTTAAGCTCGTGAAGAGCAGACTAGAGGAAACCAGTCTGGTATTCGACCTGGAAGTGGTTGTATAGACCAGATATTCACACTACGTCAGGTCTTAGAACATAGACACACATTCAGACGCCCCACAATCTTAGTATTTTTCGACCTTAAGGCGGCGTTTGACTCTGTTGATCGTAAGGTTCTATGGCCGTGTTTGTCACTGAAAGGAATACCAAAGAAGTACATTAACCTTGTACAGGCCCTCTACTCGAGCACAACTGGTCGAGTGAGAGTTATGGCGAACTGTCATCAGAATTGACTACCTCAAGTGGTGTTCGTCAGGGCTGTATACTCTCTCCATTCCTGTTCAACTTTATCGTCGATGTACTTTTAGAGATAACACTTTCCTCATCTAAATTTACAGGGTTTGAACTCCTACCGGGAGGTTCACTTGTTGACTTAGAATATGCTGATGACATAGTTTTATTTGGTGAAGACGCTGACAAAATGCAGAGTCTTCTGACCACTCTAAGCAACAATGCAAGCATGTTCGAGATGTGATTATGCCCCTCGAAATGCAAAATGTCGCTTCAGGATTGGGTTACATCCACACCCGAACTAGTGATAGGGAGTGAAGTAGTTGAGTGTGTCGACCGCTTCACTTATCTTGGAAGTCTCATCAGCCCTTGTGGTTTAGTGTGTGACGAAATCTCAGCATGGATACAGAAGGCTCGACTAGCTTTTGCCAACTTGCGTCATTTGTGGCGTAGGCGAGATACCCGTCTATCAACCAAAGGACGTGTTTACTGCGCAGCAGTTCGTTCCGTCCTACTTTATGGCAGTGAAACATGGCCGGTAAGAGTAGAGGATATCCGTAGGTTACTAGTATTTGATCATAGGCGTCTTCGAAATATTGCTGGTATATCCTGAGACTATCGAGTAAGTAACGCAGTTGTTAGGAAACGGGTACTAGGTAAGGATGGCAAATCAATTGAACGTCAGTTGAGACGGCTGGGACACGTGTTACGTATACCCAACCACCGACTGCCTCGATGTGCGATGTTTTGTTGTATAGGAGTAGGTTAGAAGAAAGCTAGGGGCGGCCAGACCAAAACATGGCACAAGTCCAGGAAGTCACTGACAAGTGGACTGAGTCATGTTGGTAGGTGTAGACTACCTGGTTGGGGACCGCGAGATGATAGCAACCGATGGTTAGAGACCCTGAATGACATGGCTCAAAATTGTTTGCGATGGCGCAGGTGCATCAACTCTTTGTGTTCTCCCAAATTCTAATCTTCTGAATTCTTCATGTCCCTTTCTTTCTTCTCTTTCCAAATTTATTTCACTGTATTATACTCCGTGAATAACATCTTCAAGCCCTAATGTTTCCGATTACTGCTTATACTATTACTACCTCTACCATGACGGAATTTGAGTCGACAACTGCATCTCTGTTCTAATGTGGCGTGGCAACTCGAACTGATGTACGTACGTACGTAGTTCTACGTTTTTACTGACTAACTGACTGATTGTATTCCGTGTTCCCTCTCAGACGACAAGGTCTTTATAATCCAGTCAACCACCAGAAGAAACAGAAAGGGAGGGAGTAAGCAGTCTTGTCTGACTCTGGTCTTCACTTGGAATGTATCTGTCAGCTGTCTTCCATGGACTAATTTGCACTATAGTCCGTCGTATGAATTCCGGATCATGTTGACAATCTTCTCATGAACTCCATAGTGTCGAAAACGTTTCCATTATGTTCTCCTGTCCACCCTGTCAAACGCCTTCTTATAATCAATGAAGTTGACGTAAAGTGACGGATTCCATTCGATTGATTGTTCAACGATGATCAATAGTGTTGCGATTCGGTTTCTGCACGACTGATCCGTACGGAATCCAGCCTGTCGATCTCGAAGTTGGGTGTCTACTGAGTCTTTCATTTGGTTCAGCAACACCTTGTACAGCATTAGAACAAATCTGTGTCAGCACTTTTCTCTTCGTGACCGGAGTACGAAGCATCTCTCTCGCACCTAGTTTTTGCTGTCCAGCTTCGGTCCAATGGGTTTCACTGATTCCGAGAATCGCCAGGTTGTATGTTCTTATTTTCACAACTATTTCGTTGCTTCCCCCGGTCTCCCACATTGTCCTGAAAGTCCATCTGCCTACTGACATTCCAAAACATTTGAGATTTACTACGCATATAAAGTCTGCCACATTACTTCACCTTCGGAAATTCAACATGTAACTCATTTACCATACAGAGGTTAACGTATCAAATTATATATGTGGCAAATTTAGAATCCATGACTTATTAGTTAGGAGCCAGGTGTTTTAAACAAAGCTTCATAGTTAACCCCCGGAAAACACTCAGGAAAGGCTCTCAAACACGTAACTGCTTTGAAACCTAAAAAAGCATATTTTTGTTTGAAGCTCAGTAACGATAACGTAATCAGTGTGTCAATCTAGGTTCACTTGTTTTGTATATTGGGCATGTTTTATGGATGCGGTCCTAGATGCTTTTACGTCGCGCATTATTTGCTAGCCCTGGACTAAGTGGAAAACGTAGAGAGTTGATAATTTTATGACAGCTATAGATGACTGGATTGTAGCTGGTCATCACGACCCAGTGATTCAGAATCTTACAGAATACAGGAGTTAGCAAATTAATACACCTTTAGACAGGGAGCTAATATCGGTCTTTTTGTAGCTTTTGTGGAACGTCGCGTAAAAGATGGAATCGCAGTTTTTAAACATAACAATTGTTTTTCATATTTATTTATTTGTTATACGACGATTTGCTTTTTCACTTCACAACAACTTAAATTCTGTTCAGGGTATTTTTATGAACCTGTGCTGTACCAAAATATTTTTCTTAGAAATAAAGGAAAATGACACTGACAATCGCGAGGGAGAAAAACTGCAACTACTTAAAGAAAGTATACTGTGGGCAGATCACCAAAGAAAATAATTAAACTATGAACTAACTTATTTAACCAATATAAGTTTGTGAATCTAGTTTTCTTCATATGTACCAGTTTTACGTACATTTAATATTCATAACAAACCTATGTTAAAACATAAGTGAAGCTGTGAATCAACAACTCAAAGTATAATAGAATATATGCAATAATTAATTGTCTGTACATAATATCTTAGGTAAGATGGATTAATCGTGTTGGTCTTCATCCTCTCCAGGGCATTGTTCTAAAAGTTCAGATTGATTTTGGTACTGCAGGCTACACCAAAAGCAATAATTATGTCGACTTCGTAAATAATTCAAAAGTTGTATGAAATTTCTTTCGACCTATAAAATCAAAATAATAGTTAATTTTGAATGATGCAGAGTGCGATAGTATAACTGTTCTGACTTGTGACTAATATTTAATCTGCACTATTATTCAAGGAAATTTTTTTCTTACAGCAATAAACTTGAGTTTCCACGCAAGAAAAATACACTTCAGTTATCCTTTGATTCAGTATTCAGTGAATGAGTGGTACAACACAAATGTACAGTATGGTTATCATGGGTAAATAAAATAGAGAAAGAAACTACATATACTTACAGAAGTGTAGTCACAATTCGCATGTTTCGAGTCCAGTTTGGCTAAATCATTATCTGCAAAATCTTCGTTCACATAATCTTCCTGAGGCAATACATTACTTACAGGAATTCTGTCTTTAACAGACTTAAAACCATTCGAAGTGACTGATCCATATTTACCATTATCAGCGACCTCAGTTGGAACAAGATCAATAGGTGGCCAGAATGATTCGTGAACCGGAGTTTCAATAAGTTCTTTTAAATCCAGATCTTGACATATCCGACGGGCAACATCCAGTTGTCGGTTCAAACGGTTCTGACGAAATCTCACGGCCATAGTGCTTCGGAATTCATCTTTGTAAGCCATTTGTATTTGTTGTTTGAGGTTTTCCCTAAATATCATACGTTCGTTTTTTTCAGACGCGAAACCGAGGCCTTCACGACCCTGAGGGATTTCAATAGAAACAGGATCAGCTATCCCAGTAGCTAAAATTTACAAAAATGTATAAGAACAGAGAGTGAAAAACATGTTTCTACTTGTAGACGTAAAGCATCATTTACTTTCCCATTAGCTTAGTTCCTGCATTGTTGAATACAGTAACATGATATTCAAAAATTAGTCTTTAATGGTCAAAAAAACTAAATGTGTAAGCGAATAAGGCTTAATGAATTTGTATAATCCCGTGAACTAGTTTTATTTGCAAGTAGCATTGTACATCCTTCAAACTCAAAGATATAGATTTGTGCTATCACGTTTCTACATTTCTACCCGTTTATTTAAAATTACCTTTCAATTTACACTGATACGTACATAAAGAATATAAATAATAAGATTCGATATTTATTAATTCCCTATGACGAAAGTATTGTTTTGGATGAAAGTAGAGGAAGCGATTTAGAGGGTGTAATGAAATGTAATTAGTATTCCATAAAAATAAAATGAACCACTTTTCTGATTATGAATCGCTCTTGTTTACGGCTGACTACGTAGTTTTGAAGATATTTATTAGAAACAAAGTAGATACTTTTGAATTTGTTATTTTTTGACAAAAACTTTACTGTCAAGAGCCAATTCATCGCACACGGGTGCTTGTAGTCTGGTCTACCAAAATCCTATATTCCATACTCTGTAAGACAAAGTATCTTTAGCAAAACTTTCATAAGTTAATTTTATCAGAACATTACCACTCGTTGTTACTTGCTTACGACTGATTGACTAGAAATTTTCAATAATATCTCACGCTATAACTTAGCGCAAAATGGGTTACTGCGATGATCCAAGTAATTTCAAGTTATGAAAATAAGGGAGTGTGAAACTGTTGTATGTTACATACCATTTTTTCCCAAACCTTTACCCGGAACGTATCCCATTTTTGAAAGTAGACTGAAACCTTTATTTTCAGGCCCAACCTTTTTCTTTAAACCTTCCTTGAGGTGATGGATTTCCCTTTCCGACTTGGAAAGACATTTGTTTTTCCGTCGATTCGCCTCCACTGTACGCTGTCGTTGGACATCTCGTGATATAAATAATCCCGGTTTTACATCTTCTCTAAAAATTTATGAAGTGAGAGTAAGACCTTACATTTCATTCAAAATGGCATCAGACATGTAGTCAACTTCATCATCCATCTCGACACTTCCAAATTATATTTATATTTGACAAACCGAAGTCATCACCTTCATCTAGAATTGAGGCCGAAAATAAAATTCTATCATGGACAAGAAAAAAAAGTGATTATATATAGATACTTGAAAGTCACATTTAGTGGAAATCATATCTTGAAGGAATTTATTAAAAATATGACATTTATACAGTATAAAAAGCTCCAAGGCCTTTACCGTATGCTTCACTTGGGTGGTTTTTATTAGAGCTGCGTGAACTAATCGCTTAGTAAGTCCTTATAACAATATTCGAATATTAATTGGTCCTTATCAATGGTGTACAAAAATGATCAGGGAATGAAGGAATTTAAATTTATTACAAATCTCCATCGAATACCCACATTAAAGCCATTAGTGAACACGCTTATAAAACCGCAGTACGATGGATGTTGAGAAAATACTTTGTCGTGTTTTTCGACAACAATCCAACATATCAAAACGAAAAATGCATCGTAGTTGTTACATTCAATAATAGCATAGAGAAGAGATGAAATGATGGTGTACAGTAGAAAGTGGCCAATATATAGTTGACCTCTCCGAGTTGAGGATGTTAAGCGACTCTGTGTTTGATCACTGTTGTCCCAAAACGATTGCTGACGCTGAATGGCAACGCTGCTAGTAATGGGGAGGTTTGACGTGTGTTCAGGCACAATTACAAGGATTCGAGTGGTTTCTTGATCGTGACACACTCCACATCGTTATTATTTGCCGACACAAACTGATTGAAAAAGCGGAAAAGTGATAAATGTATGACATGAAAGCTGCGCAAAACTGGCATCTATCGTGCCTTGACAAATACGTAATGGCTTAAGATGTTATTAGACAAGACTTATAACAGAAGCTGTTGGAATCCATGATACAGTTTTTTGACTATCCTCGTATAAATGAGGACTCAAACTCAAAGAATCCCTCCCGGTATTTTTGTGTGAACTGGTTCTCCTATCTTTTCTTACTCACATTCCCAAGTTTTTATATATTTTTGTGCTGTTTTTATTGTATGGCGTATATATATACTAGTGCTCCATTACAAAAACATTTCTTCAAACAAGTAAATGACGTGGTTGGTGCCGCATTTTCGTAACTCATATTGTTACAAATCAAATACAATGCCTTGGTGATCATGCGTTACATTATTCATCAAAGTTTCGCTAAGGCAAATTAAGAACAATTGACTCCGAATACATAAACCTAGGGTAAGTAACTACTACGGTATGAATTTCCTTATATAATTTACTAAATTTGGTCCATACTGGTTACAGTTGTAGCTCTATAGAAATGTTCGAACATTGATTGGAGGTATCGGGACTTAGAGTATAGACATCGGGGATGTCACCCTATCCGAAAGCTTAACCATTGAGTAGAGATCAGACTGTCACACGAAACAGCGCTTTCTATTTTGATCAATTTATCGACTCTGCTTTTCAAAGTGAAACCTTGTTCTCACTCTCTCAGGTTTAACTACTGCTCAAATGGTTGTGGACGAAATAGAAGCTTATGCTTAACTGACTTGCGTATCTAGCAGCAGTGGACCACCATCGAACTGGAGTACATCTAAATGTCAGAAAAGATTTGCAGATTATAACGAAACATCAATAAGTCATTAGAAATATATCAAACTCTTCTCTCGAAAGACTCATGGAATGTTGTTTCGACCACAACAGATGGCACACAAGACAGCATGTGACTAAATCTCAGTTAGCTGTGTTGTCAAACCTCTAAAAAGAGCTCCTAAAGTTCGTATTAAGATTGCGAAAGAGCAAGCCCACGAAGTTCTCGAAAACCAGTGAAGAAATCCAGGATTAGCAACAAAAGTCGGAAACTTTGATATGCTTCGTGGAGATCATTCCACTTTTAAAAAATATAAATCACAAGACAACTAGATATTGCTAGCAATATCAAACGTTAATGGTTTTGTCCCTGAGTTTCAACTTATTGTAATCAGACATAGAAACGTAAAAACCCTAGATTTTATAAGGACCCAAACAACCAATAAAGGAGTAATAAAGAGGAAGTGAACGAAAGCAAAGATGTAAGGAAAAGTCTATTTTTCTTCTTTACGTCAGTTATTTAGGTGAAGGTCGATATCCTCCCCTGACGTCGTGTATTTTAAGGAAATTTGCAGACAAATACATGCAACGCACCGCACTTGAATATGCCGCTTCCCGTACTTAAATTTTCATTGAACTATACAAAATAACGTGCTGTTTAATAAAACACAAAACCAACTATCATTAAGACATGTTAGAAAATGCGGACACAGTGATTTTTCTTAGATGCATATATCCGATCTTTGTTGTTTGTTTATTTAAATTGTTATGACATGCTTGGATGTCATCATATATAGTTTACGAGGTGCGGGTGACTGGCATGCCCTCTGTTTTTTATGTTCATCATCATCTATTATCCAGTTTGTCCAGTAAGATGAATTCATTTGAAGTCAGAGAGAGAGCTCGTGGATGTAAGGCAGCTGTGGACCTGTCAAGCGTCCTTGGTCGTTATGCCTCTACTTATAACAAACTTTAGAATGAAATAAGAACAGCTTTCGTGGAAAGAAAATGGTGAGGCTCTAGTTTTTGAGCAACTTCAAAGTGACCTCGAGAGTGTCCACCTAATAACCAGGACCAAATAAGTGCTATGAACGTGTGTGAGGATTTAGAATTATAATTTACAGTTGATGACTAATCTTAGGAATTAGGTTTCGGGTTTTCATCACGAACTGACATCAGCTGCAATGCTATGACTCTCTATCAAAAATGGATGAATGAGTTTTGCGTCAAAGTCAAAGACCTGTTGTCTAAGATCTGATTGGTTCGTCCATAAATTATAGTCTCACCCTTCTAGATGATTATGGTGCCTGTAAGAAGTGAATTCGTTTATACATTTCTTTCAGGATAACATGACGTTAATTTGTGATCTTGGAAGTTTGTAAAACTTAAAGAGCAGATCAAGAAGATATTTATGAATTTAATGGCAAAAACCTGTCTGAGCATCAGATATGCTGATTGTGTTCTGAATGATTTCCGAATTTCTGTTCCGGACTTACCGAGTACCATCATAAGTGTTCTGTAGATGTACACTAGTGTCTAACTGAATTTCATAGGCCGTGGTGTTTACAACTATCTTGGATCGAAAACCAATCTGCTAAGATATGTTAAACTTTGGTTATGTACTTGTAATCTTTATGCTTTCGATTTGTATATTAGTGTGGGTGTAATTTGTATTTAAAGCATTTCGAGTCATTTTTTGTGGCCTGTATTTGATAGCATCGTCGCCTCAATATTTAGTGACGTTTTCACGATAGGTATTTATGGAGTAATACTGCGCCGGTAGAATTCAACAAAATATCCACAGACACCCTTTCTGAAATAAAAGGAATGTCCGACTTGGTTCTGCTTAGTGTTAAGTTCAATAAATACATAGCTACTACATTGGCCGCTGTAGCATGTGACGCACCTACCCGTTCCGATGTTAGATGCACAATAGAAAGACAGGTTGCTACAGAATTATTATAATCGGTGGACGGCTTAACAGAAAGATGATTTTTCTAAATGGTGAATATACGTCCGAACTGATGACAGCTTTCATCATGAAATTCAATCAACTCAACATCAAGGCTATTTCATTTAAGAAGTGCGTTCAACCAATCTGATTTTAACTATTACATTTCACTCGAGTGAAGTAGTATGTCGAACAGTTGGGCTGTATTTATAGGAAAATATTCAAACATATCCATAGAAATCACGGTACATGCTTGTGTTGGTGTCAGTCAGTCAGTCAGTAAAAACGTAGAACTACGTACGTACGTACATCAGTTCGAGTTGCCACGCCACATTAGAACAGAGATGCAGTTGTCGACTCAAATTCCGTCATGGTAGAGGTAGTAATAGTATAAGCAGTAATCGGAAACATTAGGGCTTGAAGATGTTATTCACGGAGTATAATACAGTGAAATAAATTTGGAAAGAGAAGAAAGAAAGGGACATGAAGAATTCAGAAGATTAGAATTTGGGAGAACACAAAGAGTTGATGCACCTGCGCCATCGCAAACAATTTTGAGCCATGTCATTCAGGGTCTCTAACCATCGGTTGCTATCATCTCGCGGTCCCCAACCAGGTAGTCTACACCTACCAACATGACTCAGTCCACTTGTCAGTGACTTCCTGGACTTGTGCCATGTTTTGGTCTGGCCGCCCCTAGCTTTCTTCTAACCTACTCCTATACAACAAAACATCGCACATCGAGGCAGTCGGTGGTTGGGTATACGTAACACGTGTCCCAGCCGTCTCAACTGACGTTCAATTGATTTGCCATCCTTACCTAGTACCCGTTTCCTAACAACTGCGTTACTTACTCGATAGTCTCAGGATATACCAGCAATATTTCGAAGACGCCTATGATCAAATACTAGTAACCTACGGATATCCTCTACTCTTACCGGCCATGTTTCACTGCCATAAAGTAGGACGGAACGAACTGCTGCGCAGTAAACACGTCCTTTGGTTGATAGACGGGTATCTCGCCTACGCCACAAATGACGCAAGTTGGCAAAAGCTAGTCGAGCCTTCTGTATCCATGCTGAGATTTCGTCACACACTAAACCACAAGGGCTGATGAGACTTCCAAGATAAGTGAAGCGGTCGACACACTCAACTACTTCACTCCCTATCACTAGTTCGGGTGTGGATGTAACCCAATCCTGAAGCGACATTTTGCATTTCGAGGGGCATAATCACATCTCGAACATGCTTGCATTGTTGCTTAGAGTGGTCAGAAGACTCTGCATTTTGTCAGCGTCTTCACCAAATAAAACTATGTCATCAGCATATTCTAAGTCAACAAGTGAACCTCCCGGTAGGAGTTCAAACCCTGTAAATTTAGATGAGGAAAGTGTTATCTCTAAAAGTACATCGACGATAAAGTTGAACAGGAATGGAGAGAGTATACAGCCCTGCTCGAGTAGAGGGCCTGTACAAGGTTAATGTACTTCTTTGGTATTCCTTTCAGTGACAAACACGGCCATAGAACCTTACGATCAACAGAGTCAAAC